CAGGATAATAATAAAAATAGTTCACTCACCGGAACTGGGCCGGTCACTGTACCGCGTACAGTACACCCACGCCGGCCACACCATCGGGCCCTCGCCCGCCGTTGTACCTGCAACACCATCATCGTCATCATCATCATCATCATCATCACCATCATCATCATCATCATCATCATCATCATCATCATCATCATCATCATCATCATCATCATCATCATCATCATCACCATCACCATCATCACCATCACAATTCTAATTATTATTATCATCAACATAACGATAAACGTCATCATCATTGAAAATAATGAGGAGTAAAAAAGGTAAATCCCAAGTCTAACCCTTTTAGGCCCAGTGTTTTGATTCGTAGTTAAAATAACCAATAATCAAATTTGACAGATGTTAAGTGACAAGTGGTTAAATATCAGAAAAAAATGTTTTTAGAACAATGGTTAGTTTGACTTTTAGACTATTACTTATTCTGTGCTTTTAGTAAGTACATTTTTTAACTATGTATTAGTTTACAGTTTGTTAAATTTAACCATTAGTAGCAAAATTTTACAATTAGTTATTAACTATGAATCAAAAAACTGGGCATTAGTAATGAAAAGTAAGGACTCCTTTCCACGGTAATCAAGTTTTGTGGGATCATGTAATGTAGGATAATTCCTATTAATTTGGAAAAGTCGTATAAATTCTGTGCGACAATAATCCAATGGTTTAGACATCGGACTGATTCAAGATATCAATGATTCAAGGCCTTCGAGCCCTTGAATCAGCCCGGTTCATCCGCTCAAAGGGTGAATTTTTGAAAATCCTTTCTTAGAGGATGCCTACGCGTATAATAAACTAGCTTTCCGTCCGCGGCTTCGCCCGCGTGGAATTTTTCGGTTTTTTATATCCTATGACACTCAGCAATAATGTGGTTTCTATTGGTGAAAAAAATTTTCAAATCGGTTCAGTAGATCCCGAGATTACCCCTTACAATTTAACAAATATACAAACACACAAACTTTGCCTCTATAAAATATTAGTATAGACACTGCACTCAGTGGTTTATTGAACTGTAATGATAGATCAGTGAATAATGGTTGTCTTATAATACAGACGATCATGGGACACACAACTGTTTGTAAAGAAGACCACACACAACTTAATTTTCACCATAAGAGTAACCAACCTACGATTGAGCACTTAAAATTTTACTAAAAACACTTCCATTTATTATTCCATAAGCTCGTTTAGCAACTTCACTTGAGGGCATAATTTGATGCCTACGCGTAAACTCAATACAACAAAAATTAGTGTAGATTTAGTCTTAACTTGACCTATAAACAGATTGATAGAGATGATAATATTAAACATGAACACCTCCTTAATTTGTTCAAAACTATGTTAAATCGACCATTTGAAGAAAGTAATTTCACACACGATTTATTTCCATGCGTGATTTCGGGGGGCGTAGTGTGAGTTTGTATCGATATCGACTGCGTAAAAAAGTGACATTAAATGTATGACGGATTGTACAGCGCCCCTAGCGGATACTTTCAAGAACTAAAATCTTCATAATTTTTTTGACGCGCTCGTTAGTGAAGACGTTTGACATAAACTCACACTAAGCCCTCGGATGTCCCAAAAATACGTCCCCAGTACGAAATAAATCTGACATTTTTAGGGTTCCGTACCTCAAAAGGAAAAAACGGAACCCTTATAGGATCACTTTGTTGTCCGTCTGTCCGTCCGTCTGTCAAGACCCTTTTTCTCAGGAACGCGTGGAGGTATGAAGCTGAAATTTATATCAATTACTCAGGTCTACTGTCCCTTGAAGCTGTGAAAAAATCAAACTTCTAAGCCAACGCAATCAAAATATACAGCCGTTTATGCCGCAAATTTTCGACACTTGCAAGGGAATCAAAACCTACAGGGTGCTTCCCGTGAACTCAGAATCTTGAAATTTGGTACGAAGCAACGTCTTTTAGCATAGATAAAGGAAAAATTACGAAAACCATAAATTTTTAGTTACATCACATAATATATATTTTTTTAATAATTTTAAACTTACTACTCATTTCCTCATAAACGCGTAGAGGTATTAAATTGAAATTCATACCAAATACTCAGGTCTATAATACCTTTATGCTGTAACAAAATCAAACTTCTATGTCAACGCAATCAAAAGAAACAGCAATTTAAGCTGCATATTTTGAAACTCGCAAGTACTCGCAAGGGAATCAAAACCTAAAGGGTACTTCCAGTCGACCTAGAATCTTGAAATTTGACACGAAGCAACGTTTTATAGCACACATAAAGGAAAAATTCCGAAAACCTTAAATTTTTTGTTACATTACAAAATATATATTTTTTAATAAATATAAACTTATTACTTTTTTCCTCATGAACGCGTAGAGCTATCAAGTTGAAATTCATATCAAATACTTAGATCTAATTGCCTTTAACCCGTGAAAAAAAAATTCTAAGTCAACGCAAAAACGCAAAACGCAAAAGTACAACCATTGATACCGCATATTTTGAAACTCGCAACTACACGCAAGGGAAAATACCATAGTTATGACTCGATTGTCGTAATGAACGAACTTTGTAAACCTTGCAGGTTTGTACGGAACCCTCGGTGCGCGAGTCCGACTCGCACTTGGCCGGTTTTTTTTTTTGTAAAATTACTGTTTCATTCACAGATCTATTTTGTTCGATATCAGTAAAAATTTTGACCTAGAATAGAATTTCTTTAGACTTGAGGTTTAGACTAGCAGTAAAACTTTCTTGCAGAAGTTGGCTTGTCACAACTATTTATACTGTAAACAGCTTGCGGAAGTCAACTTCTGCTTTTATTGATAGTCTAAACCTCGCTTTATACTCAGCTAAGACTATAAAAAAACCAAACTCACTTGTCGTAGACCCCTGGTTGCTCCCGCTGTCGTCTCCCTTCGACAGATCTATCGCCCCCACTTTCTCACTCGGTTTCACCTCTGGCACTCTCGACTCCAGCACTTCTGGCTTCGAAGGCAACGGCACCTCTTTAACTGGTACAGTCTTCGCCTCAAACTGCCTGGCTTTCATCGTCTTTCTTTTATTTAGAGGATCTGTTATCCGCCTCCCGAAATCTGCTTTCAAAATATTGTCTATACTAAACTTCAAGCAATTCTGATTGATAAAGTCTCTTTCGGATTCGTTATCAGGCGATTTCGGACTCATATAGTTAAGTCTTCGGTTCTCATCGGTTCTAGTACTCCTCAATTCTTGAGTCTGACTCCCGTTTTTCCTAATCCCGAAGTTCAAACCGTAATGCTGCGGGTTTAGGTTCATATTGTTTTGAGGAATCGGCATTCTGTTCAGGCCATTGATTCCAGATTTGAGATCCACCTGGTTGATTAATGGATTTTGGAATAACAACGGCTGGTTTAGGAACATTAAGGGGTTTGGTGTTATAGGACTCGGCCGTAAGAGCAAAGGCTGATTCATATTCAAATTTTGGCTTAGTTGAGATATTGCATTTAAGTGTGTCTGTATGTGTTTAAAAGACGTCAGTCCTTGTGACGTTTCTGGGCTGTTCTTATCGCTATTCGTGTCAAAACTTGACACAGGAGCCTCGTTACCAACTGACAAGACAGTGTCATCGCTGCAGCATGAATTGTCATCGTCTATACTGATTTCTGCTCTAGATCCATTTGTGTGATCATCATCCTCTATATTGTTAGGGCTTACGCTTTCAGATAGTCTGGAATTGTCATGATTGTCTTCGTACCCTGGAGTATTCTGTAGTAACTTATCAGTTGAAAACACGTTTTCTGGACTATTGACGTCTCTTTCTTTCTTTAGTACATTGTGTATGGAGAAAGAGGATGTGTGTAAAGGCCGGTCGTCTGGTTTCTCATCGTCATGGTACTCGGGGCTGGTAGTGTCTCTGGTGTTTGGAGAGTAGGGCTCCTCGTCGCTGTGATCTTGTATCTTGATCCTGGAGTCGGCCAGGTGGACTGACGACACCGCCGCCATCTTGCGCGCAGGTTACGCCATCTGCGGGAGAAAATGATAAATTAGTAACGTTGTTTGTGATCGGGAATAGTTTTAGACAGTTTTTAAACTCACTCTGTAAATAGAACTCACTCTGTAAATAAAATTATAATAGGTACTTTTGTTACAGCAATTTGTCATTTTGTGTTTTTGGGAAAGATATCCAAGTTAAACCAACTTCTTCAGTTGATATTTTTGATATCTCTCTCACATGACATACAAATGTTTTGTCAATCAGTCAAAATAATTTACCGTTAATTTTGGAACTTTTTGGCATAGGTACTCTTGTTATAAAAGCGCTGTATAACAAGCGCTGTCTATTTCAATGTGCATGAAAATATCTAACTCAAGTATCAATAACTGAACCTATATTTGAACATTTAAACCCTTTTTTCTCTCATCTACAGTTTCTTTTTTATACTTTTTGTCATAGTCCTACAACAATAGGCAATTAAACATGTTACTAAATAAGTACAGTATCTAATTGATTCTAATAACGGAATACCCTCCGTTTTTGCATCGTTAGTTTTGGCAATAAAATGTATCATTAAGTCAATAATATTATAGGTTGATGCCATTTCTAGTGCTTTTATTGAACTGGCAAGACTGAAACTACTATAAAATTACTATTCCGTATGTTTTTACTGATTTAAAAGTCAATAATTGATAGAGGTTAGTTAGAACATTAAAATTATTATTACGATTAGGTACACAACTGGTCAACATTCCTTTTTATTTAAAGCAACTATTTTGTCTGGAAGAAATTCCTTTCTAGTGGTAAGTCCGCCAAAATAGAATTTCTATGATTGAGCATTGTGAGCCACAGATCACAGAAACTAAAGGGAGATATGACAAGGGGGCGGGGGAATTATGCCCAAAAACAGAACAGTCATTATGACAGCAGCGACGTCATAATGTAAACAGTTTACATTGCTTGCGTAGTACTAAAGATTATTCGAACGTTGGGTAGGCGATACCGCAGTGGATAATGAGCAAATATTTTGATTACTTTGTGTGTGTGAATTTGTAATGCGACACTGAGTTTCGTGATCAGCGCATTAGTTGGCATCTCTCTATATCTCAATGATGAACACACAATGAAGAATCTATCTACAAATTATTATGTACAATCTTTATAAATAACAGTAAAAAATATAATATTTTAGTGGTTAGAGCTTTCGCCTAGCAAGCTAAGGCTGAGTTGCACCACCTAACTTTAACCGTAACTATAACCGATGCGTTTTGTATGGAGCTTGACAGATTTTAGTACATCTTACTTCAACTACCCAGCCTAAAAGTCGTAAAAATCGAGTTTCACAAAGAAAATAAAAAGATTTTTAGGATTTTTCAGAAAATAATTCAAATACGGAACCCAAAAGATGGACATATTGCGTGCATCCGCACTTTGCATCTACATTACAAATGACCGCATTAAAAACGGTTCAGCCGACGTACGCGACTAATTGTCGTCGTATATGGGCAGCATGAATAGTTATAGCTTCAGTTCCTGTTTAGTACAGTCTAGTAGATTATCTAATATTATTAAGCTTAAGAGTTTGTTTGTTTATTGTTTGTTTGAACGCTTAAATCTCAAGAACTACTGGTAGGATCTGGAGTGGCAGCCAGGTACCGAAAAGCGTAGCGTAGGACATCCACCCACAAGGTGGACCGACGACCTCATAAAGGTAGCAGGAAGACGCTGGACGCAGGCCGGTACCACCTGGTCATTATGGAAATCATTGAGAAGGCCTATGTTCAGCAGTGGACGTCCTGTGGCTGAAATTATGATGATGATGATGACATAGAGTTACCTACATAGTTATTTTAAACTCATTTTTCTGTCAGCTTTCCCTTCATCAAATAGAAATGTTCATAAAACCTAAATCGATGTTAATTGCGAATCGATTTTGACGGTCGTTAAAAAACAATCGATTCTTTTATTGATCAATCAATCGAGTTTACTTCAATGTTTGTGTAACCATCGATTTAAATAGTTTTCCCATGGTTAGCAAATATTATTATGTTATAGCTTGAAGACATTTAGTTGGTAGCGCGAGTCATTTATTGACTAAGGATGAGTTGCACCATCTTACTTTAACTTTAACAAATGTCAAAAATCTGTCAAATTTGAAAGAAAGAAAGAAAGAAAAAATGTTTATTCAGTATCATCGACAATACACTTGCAATACTTTACTATACTTTAATTTCATAAAAAACACCTGTCTAAAGTTACGATTCAGGTTCCCTAAGCAGGCTCTTGATTGGAACCCCCAAGGAAAACACAAACGTGGTCGCCCCAAGCGAACTTGGCTGTTAACTGTAGCAGACGAGGCGAAGAAAATCGGCAAGACTTTCAGCGAGATCAAACGCGAAGCTCAAGACCGAACGCGATGGAGGACTGCTGTGGACGCCCTCTGCCCCATTTAGGGGACATAGGACCTTAAGTCAAGTCAGTTACGGTTAAAGTTAGGTGGTGCAACTCAGCCTAACTTTTACCAAGAATACATTCGCTTGGTTTATTTAAACTATGCTACAGAAGTATACCATAGGTTTAGCCCATAATCCAGTTAGTGCCTGAGTTATTGGGACGGCACGGGATCGGTGACACACAATCTATATCTATACTAATATTATAAATGCCGCTTCTGTGGTCTAGTGGTAAGACCGCCTGCTTCAGACGCAGAGGTCCCGGGTTCGAATCCCAGTGGGGGCAGATTTTTCTGTTCGGTTTGGTTGGTGGTAGGGCTTGTTCTATGTCCGCCTGGCTAGCTACCACCATCTTACCTAAGTCTGTCGCCATAACAACAATGTTAACAGCATTGTTGTGTTCCGGCAGTTAGAGGTAAGATAGCCAGTTCCTCCGTGGTTGAGGATTCCGGGTGAAGCTCGCTTCCACCTTCGGCCTGATCATCACTTACCATCAGGTGAGATACAGGCCAAGAGCTTCCTCGTTGTGGATAAAAAAATAATTTTAAAAAAATGTGAAAGTAACTTTGTCTGTCTGTTTGTGTCTTGCTTTCACGCCTTAACCACTGAACCGATATTGATGAAAAGCATAGAGATAGTTTGAGTCCCGGGAAATTACATAGGATAGTTTTTATCCCGATTTTTGAAACAGGGACGCGCGCGCGCGATACAGTTTTTCTGTGACAGACAAAATTCCACGCGAGCGAAGCCGCGGGCGGAAAGCTAGTAACAATTATAACGTGTGAATAGAGCTCTGTGATTGGTTCGTGTGTCACCCTGTGCGTCCACGTGCACTGTGAGACCTCATAGTAATGTTTGTGAATACGGGCGTAATACGACTGCATAAGATCCAGCAGTTTTTATTTTAGCTTGAACTCCAAAATTGATACTGACATCAGTTCATCAAGCCAAAAATCAGCAGGCTAATTCAAATGCATTTGTCGACAGTAGAAATCGCCTGTCAAATATTTTTTAGTAATCAATTAAGAACTGATTGTCAAGGTAATACAGTTGAAATATCAAAGCCAGAAGATTCCTACTGTCATTCTGCCGATAGTAGATGTCAAATTTCCAATATCGCGTACGAAGTCGGAGAACTTTGTCAATATAGTGGTATATAAGGGTCCAGGTCTCTTAATTAGTTGGAATAGGGTTGAATTTGCATAAAAAATGTATAGGTTGATATGCAGTCGTCGGTACACCGATACTGTAATTGTAACCGGGTGTGAGCGATGAAGGCACGCCGCCACAACGCACTGAAACCGCAGCGGTTGTTGCAGTGGATGCTGCTCTACATGATTTTTCGTGTTTTTTGTACAGGACTAGCTGACCCGGCGAATTTCGTACCACATGTTCATCAAAAATATTTTAAGATTCTAATAGGGAAAGAATTTTTCAAATCGGTCCAGTAGTTACAGCCTATTCAATACAAACAACTATACCTTTCCTCATTATAATATTAGTGTAGATTACCACATGGACCTATAAAAAAAGGCGGACGGAACTCGCGCTACAACAAAACTGTGACGCAAAATTTTGGCGTTTGTCTATTGTGTGAGTGAATTTAGGGATGCCATGTTAGCCAAAACATTTTACCCATTTATTTTAAGAAAAACATAGATCGGCAGATGTTACTTGGAAATGTAGACAGAATTATTCCGTGCCATTTTAAAAGGATGAAAGGTGCGTTGAGGTAGGCGCGAAATTTTCAATGTTCAAATTTCCTTACATTGTTTGCAAGTCAGTGTGTCAGGGTATGTAGTTATGTAGGTACATAATGTTGATCAAAAATGATTCACGCAGTTAGAAATTACGAATCTTGTGTATATTATAATCATAATCTTATGCATCATCAATATATTATTATTATCTCTGATAGATTTTTTTTAACATACAACCTGACACTGACTTGAAATCAATGTAAGAAAATTTGAATTTTGCAGTTCCACATTTTTGGGAAGGATCAAATTTGCCTATGAAAATATATCCCATTAAAACACAATTATTATGATAAATTATTTTATTTCCATAGTGTGCGTAATAAATAACTAAAAAGTCCTAAAATTATTATTAATTTCCCATATTTCGGGTAATTTTCCCACGTAAATAACTGAGAACACTGGTCTTTGACGTATTATTTTTTCGAGTGAATGACGTTTGATTTCAATTAATTTCAATATTTTAATGTCGGGAAATAAGTGATTGGATTATTATTTTGCCTGTGAAATGTGATTCCTTAATTTTTGTTTGTTCGAACAGAACGGTTTTTACACAATTTCATCACACAAGACATGTCGAATTCGTGTTGTTTTTTCGCTGCTTAAATGTGTCAACTGTGTGAAGTTTGCACTCGAAGTGGTGTAACAGGGTGTGAATGTGTGCGTGCCGGCCTGTACGTACAGGCAAGCTGGTGTATCCTAATGTCACAGTATTTTGTTGATGAGAATCCGTCCGACTTTTTTTATAGGTCCATGGATTACCAACTAACTAACCAAAAGGCAACCGTTACTGACTGTGTGTCAGTAACGGTTGCTTTT